CATGTAATAATCAATAATCATGTAATAAACATGTAATAATCAATAATCATGTGATAATCTTTTTCTTCTCTCAGGGTCAAAGTTCAGGTGAAGCTATTCTCAGTGCAGGATCCATCGCCTACATCGTCATAGCAACCGTCTCCGTCCTCCTCCTCAGTATCAGCGGAGTCCTCATCCTGCGCCGGAGGCGTGGTTTCAGCCTCAACGGAAAGCTGGGATTGGCCAACGTGATCGCCCTGGAGGACCTGCAGGACCCAGAGAGGAACTGCGAGCTGCTGTCCTCGCTCCGACGCAGCAGGGGGCAGCACCAGCTCCCCAGCTCCAGCTCCGAGCAGGATGTGACGGACGGTGTGTTCCTCATGGTCTACCTGCCCTCTCCGTACGAGCGCACGCTCACCAGGATCGCCAGAGCCGCCAGCACGAGCAGCTCCAAGGATGTGGAGCTGCTGCCGCCAAGTCCGGGACCAGAGACGGGCGGCGGTGGTGAGGACAGCACGAGTCGAGAGGGCGGGGCGGCCGCAGAGGAAAAAATCCTGGACTGAAGAGAAGAGAACGGAGGATGAAGACATGTCCAGCATCAAACCTTCCTACACAATGCAGTGGAAATGTGTCTTTTGTGTATGTTGCATGAGCAGACGTGTATGCGGAGGACTGACCTAATGGTTTATCTAAAGGGACAATTCAGGTTTCAGGGATTAGAGACTCTAACTTCATGGTTTCTCTGTTTCTCCTGTTGGGATCTCACATCTGGGATCTCACATCTGGGATCTCACATCTGGGATCTCACATGTGGGATCTCACTCCAGGGGTCGTCCACCACCTTGTAAAGACAAAAGGACAGGATGTCTCCTCCACTGAGTGAAACAGCAGGAGGGGAATAGACACCTTTGCGTGCTCAGTGGGAGGGGGCTGTGAGTTATGAGAACACAGATTGTCCTCTGTTCCTGCTCATGTGGACATGTCCAGAGGCTGAATTCAACAGAAATGATCATCACAAACCGACCCTCTCTGGTGGCGTCTGTACGCAGCCGTGCATAAGGACGCGGTTTGGTCAAGTGGGATCCAGAACGTTTCCTGTCCTCTGACCTAAGATCAGCTGTTTTCCTCCTGACTGACGAAAGCTGCTGGACACAGCACACATTGAGACACAAAGACGTTTCCACAGGAATCAAACCTGTGATATTCAGTCCACTAACACCCCGTCATGAAACCCAGTGGCCCCTGAAGCTCCCTGAACCTCCATGATGTCCCGGACCTCCCTCCTGCCCCTGACGACTAACGATGCTGTTTAACCTCTGAACTGAGGTCGTGTTTTTTTGTGATCTTGTTGACTGTACACATCGACTGCTCCAGAAACCACAGCCCCCCCTAGTGGAATGCAACATGTGATGTGTGGAACACCAGCACAACAAGAACAGTTATTTTTACGCATCTCTCAGCAGACATACTTGCTGTGTTCGACATGTGTTACTGGAGTATTCCACTAGAGGGCGCACCACAGAACTCTGGATGTGCATTCAGTAAATAAAATGGTGACCCTGGAGGATGTCCGGTCGTGGTCGTGGTATGTGAGACCCTTAACGACGTAGCGATGGTGACGAGTATCTGTCCCTACACTGCCCCTACTGTCCATGTGGGTATTGCATCTTGTGGATGTGTAGCTTTAATTAAGATTATAAATATTATATCGAGTACATCTCCGACCTTAGTGTCGTGTTTTCAGACAGATTTTCAATCCTTCGTAGAAACGGGAACATTTTTATTTTTGCTGTGTTTTTCTTTGCAGAATATTTTTGTCTCGTTGTTTGAACTGAAAATAAAGTGAAGAATTATTTAATGTTTGAGTTCCGTCTCGTTTGTGTTAAAGAATTTAAATTAAATAAAAAAGTTTAAATCCCTTGGCTTTTCTCTCAGCTCACAAAAGTGAAGCCTTCCTCCTTCATCGCCCCCTGGTGGCTGGCTGCAGTAAAACTCATAAACCCCATCATCACCACAAGATGGCAGCATTCCTATCTGAGATATTTTAGCTTAATAACCTAAAAGTCTTTGTGACTGACAGCGCCGCCTGTTGGCCACATGGAACATGACGCTCTGACGTCCGTCTCCATCACCACGACGTCCTTTAACCAAACCTTCCAGGAGCCCTGGGTCGGCTCTCTGACGGCCGACGGATTCTGATTTAAACTGATTTAATGGTGAAAAAAAACCACTTGGTCATCGACTTTGTTTCTTCTTTATTTCATTTGAACAAAAGGCATAAAAACTCCGTCACACAGGATCTTACAACTGACAGAGAATAAAGTTTTAGCTCCTTTTTACCATCAAACATCAACCCCCCCCCATCGTCCCCAGATTTACAGTTCAGCTCAGACTCTTTTACTGGGGGGGGGGGGATTTGTGCATTTGTTGAGAGGTGTGTGGCCCCTGGAGGACTCAGGAGCCAGGACACACAGTCAGCAGGGATTTGCATAGTTAATGTAAGTTTCTCCACCATATGGAGCATTAGCATTAGCATGAGCTGTAAGTGCGTCACGACCTAAAGAGAGAACGAGGTTTTCATTTAAAAACCAGACGAAATAACAAGAAGCTAAAGGATCAATCCACGTGTTTCTACACGTTTCTACATCTTTAGATGAAGCTTGGAGGAGTTGAATGAAAAAATGAAGTTCTCGACAACAACAGTCTTTACTGTTCATCGTAAACATGTATTTCAAAACAGACATTAAGCTGCTTATAAAGTGTAACTGTTAGAATTCACTATCAGCTGGTTAATAATGATGAGTCAACTGCTGATTAACTGTAAACTCACCTGAAACCACAAAAACACAGGAACGATCCTTTAGTGACGTAAATATCAAAGCTGAGGTCCTGAGGCACGTGTGCGTCGCACTACACAAAAAGCAATACACATACAGTGTCCACCCCCTGGACAAAAGTAAGTGGACACCCGACTACCCGTCTCACTTTTTTACACCAGAATAATTTTTCGTTAAAAACTCTGAGTTCAGCTTCTCTAATGTGAACATCTTGTTTCAAATCAAGAACAGGTCAAAAAACTGAACATCATCATTTATTCCTCATCCCTAAGGAATTTATCAAAAACATAATCAATAATCATCAGAGGATAATCTCTAGTTGCTATATAGATATAGAAAATGAGGGTGTCCACATACTTTTGGCCTCATGGTGTATTTCAGGCAAATGGTGTCAGGTCTCTGTGGCATTAAGGCGTTTTTTACAGACAGTAATGTTCTATATTCAGGTTGACTGAGGATTGGTCAGAGAGCAGCACAGTGGGGACTCGCCCGTTTAAAGCTGAAGATTCGAGGCTCCTCTGGTTTATTCTTAAAATTGAGGAGAGAAAAGATTGTGAGCAGAAAGATTCAGCGTCTTCATTCACGCTGCCGCCGAGAAGAACCATAAACACTGGATTCTGTCCAAGTCATGGACGACAGACACGTAACAGACACGTAACAGACAGATAACAGACAGGTAACAGACAGATAAGAGACAGATAACAGACAGGTAACAGACAGGTAAGAGACAGACAGGTAGCTGACAGACAGACATGCAGGTGGATGGAGCTGAGTCTATGTGAAGGTGAGACCGGCCTCCCTGTAAACGTGGAAGACTTTCTCGATGGCGTTGACGTACGCTGCCGTCCTCAGATCCAGACCCAGGTTGTACTTGTTGGCTGTTCTCATGATTTGCTGCATGAGAGGAGAGAGAGGGGAGGAGAGGGGAGAGAGAGAGAGGAGGAGAGAGAGGACAGAGAGAGAGAGGACAGAGAGAGAGAGGAGAGGAGAGAGAGGGAGAGGAGAGAGAGAGAGAGGAGGGAGAGAGAGAGAGGAG